TCTCACACAAACGTAGATGGTATAGCTTACCATCTATATGGTATAGCCTATGGCTCTTAAGTCATAAATCTGTGTAACATGTGACTGTACGGACTACTGTAGGTGACAGTAACACAGAGGTAAGTATTTGTATATCTAAACATAGAAAAGGTACAACAAAAATACAATATAAAGGATTAAAAATGGTACACCTGGATAGGACACTTACCATGAGGGGAGCTGGCAGGACCGAAAGTTGCCCTGTGTGTTAGTGAGGGGTGAGTGAATGTGAGGGCCTAGGAGGTTACTGCACATGACTGTAAACATAAACACTGTACTTTTAGGTGACACTAAATATTTAAAAATTTCTTTCTTCAGTAATAAATTGTACTTACTGTAGCTTGTGTTTAGCAGGTCTGAGAAGGAAAGAGACAATCTGAAGGCTGATTAGTCTTCATTTTATTATTGGTCAAGCCAACCCCAAAGAGTAGCAATAGACAAAGGCAGTCTTTTCTTGCTTTTGTTTTCTGGATTTTTTCCTTAAAATTAGTTGTAGTGCTATGCATTTGAGGCCACCATGCTGCCCGCCTCCTGGACCTAAGGGATATGTGTTTGGGATATAGATGTGAAGGGGGTAGGGAGGTTTAGGTACAAATTAAAATAATGCATTTCTGTGCATAATATACACAGAAGTAAGAAGACAGCAGAAATATTTAACCATGAGCAGTGGCTTGCCCTTGCTTGCAGCTCTGCCTCGCATAGGAAAATGCTGGGATGTCAGAATGACCTGCACTCTCTGGGACGTGCTGCTCTGAACATCAAGCAAAGCCAGGCAGGCCTAAGCATCTAGCCACTGAAGATTAGTTCTGCGTGGAATAGAAATCTATCATCTAGGCAAACAGCATATCCTCTTTCTGGAATTATTTGCTCACTCACCTACTTACAATGTGGGAGCATGGAAACCGTACCAGACACTCTGTAGGCACTGAGGACACAAAACAAATAAGAAGAGTCTCAATAGGGCTTTGGGGAAGACAGACAGGTAAATGACATCATCACCATGCAGGGTGGTGAGAGTCATGAGGGCAACTCAGGGCCCTAAGGGACCTCTTGGGAAAAAAAAACCTGTAAGATTTGCCAGATTGGGGAACTTCTATTGGATGCGATTGTAACTGCAAGTTTAGAGGCTTGTCTTTAAGGTCTTCCAGCTTGTCACTGCTTCCCCTGCTTGTTCAAGGGGATGAAAAAGTGTGTGTATTACCATGTGGTCCACTCTTGGCTATCTGTGCCCAGATGAGGGGCGCAGAATTATAACCAGGGAATGTGACCCTCTGATATGGTATGGCTCTGTGTCCCCATCCAAATCTCATCTCAAATGTAATCACCATTGTGTCAATAACTCATGTGTTGAGGGAGAGACCTGGTGATTGCATCATGGGGGCAGTTTCCCCCATGGTATTCTCATGAAAAAGAATGAGTTATCATGGCTTTATAAGTGTTGGACAGTTCCTCCTTCACCCACTCTCTCACCTGCCGCCTTGTAAGATGTGCCTGCTTCCCCATCTGCCACGATTGTAAGTTTCCTGAGGCCTCCCCAGCCATGCGAACTGTGAGTCAATTAAACCTCTTTTCTTTATAAATTTTCCAGTCTCAGGCATTTCTTTATAGCAGTTTGAAAACAGACTAATACACCCTCCAAATCTGCCGTATTTGACCGTGGCAGGTATTTTGGAATTCAGGAAGTCTGATCTGCTCCCCTTACTCCTGCTGTCTACTTTATCTCAGGTGGAGGCTGTAACCTTGTGCAAAGTTCCTCATACATAACAACAGAAACTGTCTCTGACTTGGAAAATGAGCTGGAACCAGGGCCACTCTTGCAGTGGGAATGCAGTGGGTGGAGAGAAGTAGCAGGCAGTTATGAAAATGCCTCTGTTGGAAAGAATTTGCTGCAACCACTCTGTCTTTAGGTGACTCAACTCAAGAGTCACATCCTAGGATTGGCCTGGTTTATGTCATGTGACCACACATTGGCCTCGATGAGAGAAATAATCTGCCACAAAGAAATGGGGCTGCTTTCCCAAAAGTAGGGGGCAAAGATTCTGGACAGCTAAAGCAATTATCACCAGGAGGCTCTGGGCAAGTCACTCCCTTTCCTCAGTTTCCTACCCATATAATAAGTACAATAATATCATTTATTTCCTGGGGTAGCAAGAGATTAAGGGTAACAAATGAGTGACATGCTTAGAACAAGTTTGGCATGCAGTCAGTGTGTTCACTTCTATTGTTGTTGCAATACATCACTGTAGACGTAATGGCTTGAAAACACACACATTTATTAACTTACTATTCTAGAGGTCAAATGTCCTAAAATAAAGGTATAACAGGTCTGTGTTCTTTCTGGAAGCTCTGCAGGAAAATCCATTTTTGTGTCTTTTTCAGCATCTAGAGGCCACGTGCATTCCTTGGTGCACGGTCTCGTCCTTGCATTGCTCTGACCTCTATTTCTATTATCATATCACCTCCTCTGATTCTGACCCTCCTGTCTTCTTCTTATAAAGATTCTGTGATTACGGTGCGTCCCCTGAGATTATCCAGGAAAATCTCTGCATCTTAAAATCCTTAACTCAAACACATCTGCAAAGTTATTTTGGCCATATAAGGTAACATATTCACTGGTTCAGAGTATTAGGATGTGAACATATTTGGAGGGCATTATTCCGCCTAACTTGTACGTATTCAGTGAAGACAAAATCTGTATCAATTGCCTTTGTGTTTTAGATTGATGCAAGGTGCAGCCCTAGGATTTACCCTTTCTGAAAACTTATCTTACACAAGAGACAAGAAGGTTTCCAATGTCCTCTTTTAGAAAAGCATTTTTAGAATTTTAGAATATAAAATTCCAACATCAATAAAGCTAGTGATTGAGCTAATAGTGTTGCTGGATGTCAGCAAAGTCCAAAGTAAGATTTGTTGCAGTCAAAGTGTAACCCAGTTGTATACCCATGTCATGGCAACCTTATCCACAATAGCCCAAACCTGGAAGTAACCCAAGTGTCCATTGAAAGACAGATGAATAGATAAACAAAATATGATACATACATACAGTGGAATATGATGCATCCTTAGAAAGGAAGGAGATTCTGATACATGCTACAACATGGCTGAACCTTGAAGACATTATGCTAGTGAAATAAGCCAGCCCCAAAAGGACAAACATTGTATAATCCCACTTATATGAAGTCTCTAGAATAGTCGAATTCATATAGAGAGTGAATGGTGGTTGCCTGGGGCTGGGGGAGTAGGGAATGGGAAATTAGTGTGTGTTGGGTACAGAGTTTTAGTTTGGAAAGATGAAGCATTCTGGAGATGGACAGGGGTGATGGCTGCTCAATGATGTGAATATACTCAACACCACTCTATAATTAAACATGGTTAAAATGGTATATTTTGTGTTATATGCATTGCACCATAATTTCTAAAAATTGACTAAAGGAAAGAAAGAAAGAAAATGAACATGGATAATTCTGCTCTGGATAATGGAGAGCCGAATTTACTCTTAAGGGAGGTTTGTTCACCAAGCAGAGCTGAGGAGAGTGGTCCGGGCAGAGGGATCGGCAGAGGCAAAGGTGGGTGTCTGATTGAGACTTCATTCGGAGGTTGGTGTGGTCACCAGAAGTGGGAGTGGAGCTGTGGGGTGGCCAGTGGGGGAGTGAGAGAGCGGAGGGAGGCTGGTGAGTGGCTCCTGGGCCCTGTCCCCTTCCCAGTTGCGCAGCTCTAAGGCTCTCACTGTGTCAGCCTGTGGTGGGCTGAGGATGTCAGAGTTACTTGGTCACTCTTCCCAGAGTTGGTCCATCCCATTTCCACCCAGGATCAAAGCGAGCTTCCCTCCACAGGAACCCTTTGTTTATTTCCTCGATTTCCTGGTGACCTAGTTTCCCTGTCCCTGCTCTGTATTCCTACTCTCCCAACACCCCTTCATCCCACTCCTGCTGTGCTAGAAGGAAAAGACTCTGACCTTCCAGCCCAGATGGTGGCCCCTAGGCTGCTCCCAGCTCCTCGTGCCTGTGGGAGCCTGGCGAGGCCTCCGCTCCCTATCAGGCCTTGCCCTGTAACTGCGGGAGATTCTCCAAGGACCAGTAGGCACGACTGTCCCTTTGTTCTTCCAGCCCCCAGGAGCAGGGTTTCTCCCAGAGACTGAGGAGTCAGCCACAAGCCCTGTCTTCAGCCTTTCAAAAAAAAAAACTCATTTTTTTTCTGCTTGTAAGCAATGTACATGTGTTCATGGTAGAAATTTAGATATTACAGAACATCAAAAATTATTTTAAAAATTATTCATCATACCCTCCCAGGGATGTGAACTCTTAGCATTTTATGTATACTCTCTCTCTCTCAATCGACTTACCTCTAAGTTTATATGAGGATGTATTTTATTTTATTTTATTTTTTACATAAGAGTTAATACCTGGAAGGATTTATTTTGTTATCCATACATTTATACATACAACTATGTAATTCTTATTAATAATATAAGTAATTACAAACATTACATGATGTAATAGTTGTTGAAGTGTGCATGTTTGTTTTTTCTTTTTCAGTTAGCAGTATCTTACAAACATTTTTCTTTCATGGACTCTTCTGCAATATCCATTTAAATGACTATAATATTCCATCATATTGTTCAGTTTCTTAAACTGGGGTCCACAGTCCCTGGAAGATTTATGGGGATTTATAAGTTCACTCTGGACATTTTTTTAATTCTTATTTTTTGGGGAGGTCAAGGCAGGTGGATCACCTAAGGTCAGGAGTTCGAAACCAGCCTGGCCAACATGGTGAAGCCCCATCTCTACTAAAAATACAAAATTACCTGGGCATGGTGGCACATGCCTGTAATCCCAGCTACCTGGGAGGCTGAGGCAGGAGAATCACTTTAACCCGGGAGGCGGAGGTTGCAGTGAGCTGAGATCGCGCCACTGCACTCCAGCCTGGGCAACAAGAGTAAAACTCCATCTCAAAAAAATAAATAAAAATAACTTCTCATTTTTTAAAGATATAAGTAGGAGTTACAAGGAGAAAGAATGAGGGAAGAGCCTCCCAGAGAAGGTAGAGAGCCCATGCAATGGTGTTGAGGTATGAAGGAACAGGTTTCAGATATTTAGGATGGTCTGTTTAGGGGGAAAAAAGGATCTTGCCTGATGGAGAATGGTGAAAAATGAGTTTATTTTGGCAGAACGAGAGCCATGTCAGGTTTTCCACTTCCTTCCTGCTGTATTGACAGGTATTGAGGAATTCTGTGGCAGGACATGGTCCATTTGCCTCTTTTCAATAGAAATGAGAGCACTGACCATTGAGTCTTGTAAGACATTGTCATATTTATTCACTCATTTTTTATTCATTTATTCATTCACCAAGAATTTGTGGAGAATGTATCAGCTGTCTATTACTGTGTGATGGATTACCCCCAAAATGTAGCAACAACAATAAACATTTATTATCTTTCATAATTTCTACAGTTCAGGAATTCAAGAGCAGCTTGGCTGGGTGGTCCCAGCTCAGGTCCTCCATGGGATTGTAGTCAAGGGGTCAGCTGGGGCTACAGTTGTCTGAAGGCTTGATTCAGCCTGGAGGATCTGCTTCCAAGTGGCTCATTCACTCACATGTTGGCAGGAGACTTTGGTTCCTTGACATGTGACCTTTCCGTAGGGTTCCTTGAGCGTCCTCACACCATGGCAACTGGCTTCTCCTACAGCAAGTGATTTAAGAAAGAGCAATATTTTTTACAACTTTGGCTGAGTAGTCTCTATCATTCCTGCAATATCATGTTCACTCAGGGGCCAGCCTTATTCAAGTTGGCCCTATTCAGTGTGGGAGGGATTTGCACATGGGTGTGAGCCTCAGAAAACAAGAATGATTAGGGACCATCTTGGAGGCTGGCTATCACAGAGTGGTGAGCAAGGCCAAGTACTAAGGACAGAAATTGAATTAGATGTTCTTTCACTCAGGAAAATTACTGTGCCATTGATGTGCACAATTTCGATGACACTCAAGCTCCAGTTGGAGGTCACCTTAAAGGTACAGACAAAAACGATTGGTCTCAGCCTAAAGGCCTTCTCTGCTCACTGCGAGCCAGCATCACTGCACTGCCAACAAAGGCTCATGAGCAGAACCCTCTTGAGCAAAACCAAGGACCAAACTCATGGTCTGCAACAAATTTGGGTCCATTTTGTTCAACCACAGGACAGTCAGTATGAAGTGATATGAAGTAAAAGAGGACCAGGAGGTCAAGCCCTAGCTCAGATTCCCTGCCTTACCTGGAGGTCATCTCACTTCCTGTTCTGACAGGTGCTTTTAATACTTCCTAGAGCAGCCTTAGACCTACATGAGCATAGGAAAAGACTCTGGACTCCAAAGGTTCTCTTCCTCCTTTGGCAATAGTAACATGTACATTTCCTCCTGTCATTGGAAGACAATTGATCCCCCGTGCTTTGCTTTGAGTTAGGCTTAAGGGCGCAGGTTCCTTCCTTAGTTCCTTGGTTCTTTCCTCCCTTCCTTCCTTCCTTCCTTGGTTCCTTGATTCCTTGGTTTCTTTCTTTCTTGGTTTCTTTCTTTTTTTCTTGGTTTCTTTCTTTCTTTTTTTCTTTTTTTATTTCTTTCTCTCTCTCTCTCTTTCTTTCACAGGGTCTTGCTCTGTGGCCAAGGCTGGAGTGCAGTGGTATGATCACAGCTCACTGCAGCCTTGACCCCCTGGGCTCAAGCGATCCTCCCACCTCAACTTCCCTAAGAGCTGGGACTACAAGCATGAGCCACCACATCCAATTAATTTTTATTCATTTTTTTAGAGATGGGGTCTCCCTATGTTGTCCAGGCTGGTCTAGAACTACTGGCCTCAAGTCATCCTCCAACCTTGACCTCTCAAAGTGCTGGGATTACTGGCATAAGCTACCCTACTTGGTCCAGGTTTCTCCTGTTTCAGAACTTGGGAGTGGAAAAAGGTCACATAACTTGTTGAGAAAATCACAACTATCAAAGTATGAAATCACTGAACTTCAGTAAGACAGAAGGGAAAGGCAACAGAGAGAACCAAGGTTTCTGCTGATGTGCAAGGAGTCAAACCCTGTGGATGCCACCTCAGCTCTATTCTCAGGAAGCCTTGTCCCAAGAGAATAACATCCAAACCTCCAAAAGAAAGCTTCTACCCGGGGGACCTTGGTGTGATGACACATGGACTCTCTGGTTAGCATTGCTCCATCACCCTTTCTGGCCACTGGTGGGTGGACGGTGAAGGGGACTCATTGAACTGTGATGGTACGTCAGCATGGAGTGACCCTACCCTTGTGGGCAGGGGCTGTCTTCATCTCCACACAGTAGTGTTTCAGCAATATTTCCCAGGAGAGCAAGGGATGAGATTGGCATGGCAATGAGTTCAGGCAGAGTCTGAACTCCACCCATGGAATGAATTCAGGCCCAGTCTGGTGGATGGGTGGACCTTGGCAGCCTCTACCTGCCTCATCATGCCAGTTGGACTTCAGAGAAGAGACATGACTGTGAAGGGGATTTGGAAATTGGCTTCCGCAGATGTACTGAGAAGGCTCCAGTTTCTCCCCAGGGACCCTACTGGATCTGCATTTTGGCAAGAAAATGCCAAAGGAACCACAGAGAGTAGAGGTCTATAATACGGAAAGAATGTATATGAAACATGAGTCTCAAAACCAATCCACCTGGAGGGAAAATACGTGGAAACCAGAATGGATGTGTTTGAAGACTCATCTCTGAGGTTCTTGAGGGTTCCATGTCTGAAAACCATTGTCATGACGACCAAGACCATTTTTAATGCCACCACAATGGGGACGATGTTGAGCATGAATGTGATTCCAAGGTCAAGTTTTCTGTGGCATGTCCAAACTGAGTCATGACGATTATGAAAAAAGCTTGGGTCAGGAGACCTGGTTCAGGTTCTCTTCCTGTCATTTACCAGCTATCTGACCCTAGACAAGACATTTTTCCTTTCTGAGAATCAAATTCCTAATTTATGCTACAAAGAGGTTGAACCTTTCATCCATGAGGTTTCTGGTTGAAGGACTCAAGGAGACATTGTTCTAGAACTGTAGCTCAATTGGTGATACACAATTAAGCTAATTGGAAGACAATTATAAGGGGACCCAGAATTTCCACAACCTTACTGAAAATTCAACAGAACATTCAGTCCCCTTATCTTCCCAAAGGACTATGTGCCATCTTCAGCTGACTCTAATTTGCATGATTTACTCTTTTGAGACTATGTTTTGCAACGATGCTTATACTTATATTTCTTCTAAATCCACACTGTCATTGCCCTTCCCTCTCCCATAAGTTTCTTTTCTCTTATGTTATTTTATTTTTGAGACAAGGTTTCACTCTGTTGTCCAGGCTGCAGTGGCGTGATCAACCTCTTTCTCCCAGGTCCAAACAATCCTACCAGCTCAGCCTCCCAAGTAGCTGGGACTACATGAACACATCATCACACCTGGCTAATTTTTGTGTTTTTGTAAAGATAGGGTTTCACCATGTTGCCCAGTCTGGTCTCAAACTCCTGAACCCAAGCTATCCACCTGTCTCGGCCTCCCAAAGTGCTGGGATTACAAGCATGAGCCACCATGCCCAGCCTGCCTCCCCCATAAGTTTCTTTGATGTGCTCTTCCCTACCAGCCCTGTCTGTCACAGGTTTATTGTGTGGCTATTTATTTTCAGCAATGATTAGGAAAGCCCTCCACCCCACCTGGACTCTTTCTGCATTCCATCTCAGGTGTGTCCATCATTGCTGTGATGGCCACCCATTCCATCCACCCTATCCCTGGCCAAAGGTTACCCACCCACTGCTTCCACATTTCTATCTTTAGGAGTGGGATTGGGTAGCTAACTTCATCCTGGGCAGCCCTTCCCCTAACCAGACACATTTTTGAAGGGCATGTGAACGTTGAACTGAGCTCTGGCTCTCTGTACCATTTCCGCCTTGGCATTTGCATCCTCATCTACAAGACAACTCCCCAAAATGTTGAAACCCAGCATTTATGTATCTCTGAGGCTCCCCTTTTCCAAGGGAAGGAGACTTAGCGTCTTTAGCTGTCCTTCATTTGAATACTTTTTAATCTCTTCACCCTCCTGGTTGAAATCCTCCAAATGTGTTCCAGTTTCTCCATGTTCCTCCTCAAATGTTTCCCAGAACTGAAGGCAAAGCTCCAGATACAGTTGGCCTGAGCAGTGCAAGATACGTTCCTCTTGCTGCAGCCTAAGATCGCCTTTGCTTTTTGGCAACCACACCACACTGTTGCCTCATATTGATTTGCAGGCAACTAAAACTTGACAGTGTTTGTTTTTTCTTAACATGTGCCCTTGTTAAGTCATTCTGTACTTGTACTGCTAATTTTTTTTTGACGTAAGTACATGATCTAACATTAGACTACCCAAGAGTTCCTTCTTGTGCAGCTCAGTCCCGTCCCTAGTCTGTCAAGGTTATTCAAAATCCCGAGCCGGTCATCCAGCTGTCCTTCTGGCTTTGGGTCAACAGCCAATTTGATTCGCATGCTTTCTAGAACTTAATCCAAGCCATTGATAAAAATGTTGAATAGAACCTGACCAATGACAACAGCCCTGTGCTACTAGAAATCTTTCTTGGGGTCAGAAGCCACATGCTGATGGTCTGATTGCCAAATGTGGCCTGCAGATGTGTTTTGTTTGGCCCGCATAATATTTTCTTTTTTTTAAACTTTGAATTAGTGGCCAACATCTGGACTTCTAGCTTTCCCTGGATGATCAAAGATGTCTCAACACTGACTTCACAATTCAACAACAAGAGCAGCTATACGTGATTGTATAGGTTTTAGACTGCACATTCCACCTGGATGCGTGTAGTGACCACAGCCACTAGGCAAGACATGGGCTCTCTATTTTGCCTCTGTTCCCACACTATTCCTTGTTACTAAGCACCTGACCACTCGCACTCATTGATGATATCTGTCTCACTCCTAAAGGTATTAAGTTAGCAGCCTCTACTCTCGATTTATCAGCACCTTTTGGGTCTGATTTCTCAACCAGTTATAAATCCACCTAATTGTACCACCTGCCAGGCCATATAGTCTCCCCTGGATTTTATAAGAGATCTTGTTAAATGATGCATAAAACTCAGTTATCAGGGTTCACTGTGTCTCCTTGACTTACAGATTATTTAGACCATGGAAGATAAAACTGCAACTAGCCTGACCTGTCTTGATTTGGAGAACGATGCTGACTCCTTTTTTTTTTTTCTTTCTTTCTTTCTTTCTTTTTTTTTTTTTTTTTTTTTTTTGAGATGGAGTCTCACTCTCTTGCCCAGGCTGGAGTGCAGTAGCATGATCTCGGCTCACTGTAACCTCTGCCTCCCGAGTTCAAGCAATTCTCCGCCTCAGCCTCCCAAGTAGTTGGGATTACATGTGTGCCCACAACCACGCCTGGCTAATTTTCGTATTTTTAGTAGAGATGGGTTTTCACCATCTTGGCCAGGCTAGTCTTGAACTCCTGACCTCGTGATCCACCTGCCTTGCCCTCCCAAAGTGCTGGGATTATAGGCGTGAGCCTCCGCACCCATCCTATGCTGACTCTTAACTATCACTATTTACCTTTCTAAGATCATACAAACTATCCTTTAAAATATTGTTTTTAGGATTTTCTAGGAGTTAACCTGGGATTAGTCATCAATACACCAAGCAAGCATGCATGAAAACACCATCTTCTCTTTTATAACAATTAGGAGTGCATTTTACCCATCTTTGGTTGTCTGATGTGTTTATTGTTATTTGTGATGCTTGATTTGGTGCTATTTTATCAAGTCTTCATGAGATCTCTAGGGTAGAACCATCCAGTCAAGAGAGGAGATCCAACTGGAGTCAGTAAGTATTTCAGGTTGGGCTTTAATTCCTTCTTACCAGTGTCAACTCTACTCTAGTCAGTCTGATTATTCTCTTTCCAGAGAATCAAAGCAAGAGGAGATGAAGAACTTCCTATTCTTTTTTCCATTATAAATTTTCTAACATTAGACACAGAAGGTAGGTCTACCCCTTTCTTGGTCATCTTCTTGCTTTAACTATCACTTTAAAAAAGAAAAGTCTTTCATATTGCTGTAACAGAGACAGCTGGATATCCATCAGCAATGTATCCTTTCCCTTTCATGGTGTAGGGTTTTACCTGTGAATGACTGCTTGCCAAGGACTACATTTCCCAGCCTTCTTTGCACCTAGAGAGGCCAGGTGACTAGTTCTCTCCAGTGAAACGCTAGAAGAAGTGATAAGTGTCACTTCTGGGCTTAACAGCTTACGATGTGAGTGCTGTTTTCCTAGTCCCCTACTCCTGCCCCTGTGGGCTGACAGCAAAGGGCTCCTGGAGGAAAGTGGAAACACAAGGTGGAAAGAGCATGGATCCCTGCATCACCACATGAAAGGCCTCCTGGTGATAAGAACACCCTCATTGAACTGTTACATGAATGAGAAAGAAGCTTTAATTATGATATGCCCATTGAACTGTGCTTTGTTGATTTCAGTGGCTAGTGTTGCTCTAATTAATAGAGTCATCCTAAGTATTTTTCAGAAGTCTCACCTGCCTGATGCTATTCTTCTAATTCTAAACTACCTGTCCACAATTAGCATCTTTGTTCTTGGTTATGTGACCTTCTCACCTTTTGTTATATGTGTCCTTTAGAATGTAAGCTTTCTGGGCATTCCCTTTACATTTAGTTTCTTCAGGCATATCCTGTTGTGCATCTGCACTGGGACCATTTGAAACCGCATAGTCACAGCTACATTTTTACAAGCTTCCAACTCTCTTGAGGCTTATTTCCATGCTAGTCACTGCCATAGAATTGGGTCCAACATTCCAGAGCCGCCCCCTTGCCAACATCCCACAGCCTCTAGAAACATCAGAGTGCAATGATGGGAATTATATCAGAGACGCTGTGTTAGTTAAGATATCACTAGATGCTCAGCAACCTCCAAGATGTATAAGGGATCATGCAAAATAGATGTTTGTTACTTATTTACATAAAATCAAAAGAAGTCAGCCTAATTGGTGACTTGGGGGCAGGGTTTCCTCAAATGGACATTCAGAGATGTAGTCTCCTTTCATCTCATGGCTGAGCTGTGTCCAACGCCTGGCTTCCCAGGTATTTTCATGGCCAGGTTTCGTGCTACCACACTGCCATAATAGCAAAAGAGTCTAGGAGGCCAGGCGCGATGGCTCACGCATGTAATCCCAGCACTTTGGGAGGCCAAGGCGGGCGGATCATGAGGTGAGGAGATCGAGACCATCCTGGCCAACATGGTGAAATCCTGTCTCTACTAAAAATACAAAAAAAAAAAAAAAAAAAAAATTAGCCAGGTGTGGTGGTGTGCGCCTACAATCCCAGCTACTTGGGAGGCTGAGGCAGGAGAATTGCATGAACCCGGGAGGTAGAGGTTGCGGTGAGCCAAGATCACGCCATTGTACTCCAGCCTGGTGACAGAGCAAGACTCTGTTTCAACAACAACAACAACAACAAAAAGAGTCTAGGAAAGAGAGAAGATGCCTAGCTACTCAGCCTCTGCCACAAAGGCTAAGGTTCCTTATACTTTGAAGACCACTTTCATAGGTATTAACTCATGTTTTTCTTTTCTTTATCCAGTGCCTCAAGATATATTTGTTGAGCACCCATTGTGTGCTCAAGAAGACATGAGTGGCCTTCTGCACTTCCTCTTTGTCCCTAGAAACATTTGTGGGTGCTTCTCTGCTCACAGGTTTGTCTCCCCCTTAGGCGTCCTCCTGGCTGGGCTGATGAGAGCGCATTCTTGCTCTGCTACCTGCACAGCGACTTGACTCCAGCCCTGGGCTAAGCAGTTTCAACTTCCAAATCACCACGGAATCTTTCCCTACAGCTTTGTCCTGTTGCCAGGCACTGCACAAGCCACAAGGGATATAACAGTAAACAAGAGGGACTCTATGTTCAGTATAATCCTGTAAGGTAGGCAGGCACATATTTTTATTCTGATCTGAAAGCTGAGTCAATGGAGACCAGAGAGGCAAATGGGTTGCCCAGAGTTACACCTGCAGTCAGCAGTAGAGGAGGGCTAGGGTGCAGGTCTCCTGGCTGAGGCCATACTTTTCATTGCAGTGATAACTGCAACAGTGCATATCCGAGTTCACTTTCATGCTTCCTGCTCATCTGTGCAAATCAGTCGAAGTCTGCAGGCTTGACCTCAGAAAGAGACTGAACTTTGGGGAAGAAACACTTGAACGAATGTCAAAGCCTGGATCTTGTCCTTGATATGTTTTCTAGGTTGGTAGGACAGTGATCCTTTCGGCTTCCCTGCTTGAGAATGGTGGAATTTGTAAGTGGAGACTCCCTGTCTAGGGCCTCCCACGTGGTAATTGAACCTCATGGTTTGGCCACAAAGCTGAGGCTGTTCCAGTCTGCTGAATTTCTCCTCCCAGACATTCAGGCTGTGGATTTGTTGGCATCCTCCTGAACAAAGCCCCAAATATTTGTCTCTCAAGTTACCACCTTGCCAAATGCACTTTGGTTCCGCTTCTAAGTAGCATGGCTACAAAAAGGTGCTATCTACAGAAGTCCCAGCCACTGTGCAGCCACTGCCAGATTCCACCTGGCCCAACAACATCAGCCACACACAGGGCCTGCTTGGGAACCAGCCTCAGGAGATGCTCTGATCTAGGCACTTCTCAGGCTACTTCAGAGCAGACAAAGGCAGGGCTCCATGTTATAAAATAACCCTAGGCCGGGCGCAGTGGCTCACGTCTGTAATTCCAGCACTTTGGGAGGCCAAGGTGGGCAGATCAGCTGAGGTCAGGGATTCGAGACCAGTCTGGACAACATAGTGAAACTCTGTCTCTACTAAAACTACAAAAAATCAGCCATGCGTGGTGGCAGGCGCCTGTAATCCCAGCTACTCCGGAGGCTGAGGCAGGAGAATTGCTTGAACTCGGGAGGCGAAGGTTGCAGTGAGCCGAGATCGCGCTACTGCACTCCAGCCTGGGCGACAGAGTGAGACTCTGTCTCAAGAAATAAAATAAAATAACCCTAGATGTGGAGGGATGGGGCCAAAGGATTTGCTAAATGTGAGACCTGCAGGATTCATATGTACCAACTGGATTAAAATCACTTGGACCAAAAGTCTGAAGTTTATAAACAGTTTTTTTTTCTTATTATACCAAATAAATTATGTTTATTGTAAAAAAAAAAAAAAATCAGGTGGAAATAAAGGAACTAAAAATCTATCATCAGCATCATTTGCATATAATTACTCAACATTTTTTTCTCTGCTATGGATTGAACTGTGTCCTTCCATACTTCATATGTTGAAGCTTTAACCCCAATGTGACTGTATTTGAAGATAGAGCTTTTAGAGGTGATTAAGGTTAAATGAGGTCATAAGAATGGAGTCCTAATCTGATAGGATTGGTGGCCTTACAAGAAGAGGAAAAGAAAGAGATCTCTCTATTAAATACACACATGCACTGAGGAAAGACCATGTCACCCCAGAACGAAAAGGTGGCTATAAAGCAGGACGAAAGCCCTCAACAGGAAACCAATCAACTTCACTTTGATCTCGGACTTCCCAACTTCTGAAGCCGTGAGAAAATTGATTTCTGTTGTTTAAGCTGTCCAGTCTATGGCACTTGGTCAGAGCAGCCTGAGCAGACTAATACTGTCTCTATACCCTTCTTTCTCTGTGAACGTGTTTATTTCCTATTTATGAAATCGTACTATATATTACTTTGTAAGTTGCTTTTTATCTTAATTGTATGGTATGCATTGTGTACTATGTCATTACTCTTTCATATGTCATATGTAGTGGTTGCAACATGTTTAATATTGAATATTCTTTGTTGTAGACCTACTTCAAATTATATAAACACTATTCTATTTTTTGGATATTTAGATGGCTTCAAACGTATCACTCTTATAAAAAGTGCTACAAGGAACATCCAGCTAAATCTTTGTGTATATGTAGGCTTCTTCTAGAATAAATTGCTAGGTGCATTGAAAAGTGTGCACATTTTTAGGGCTGTTTATGTTGGTTTAATTGCCCTCCAGATAGGTAGCGCCAATTTACTGTCTCACCCTGACACTGAGAGTGCCTATTTCCCCACATCTGTGCCCACTTTGAGTTTTATCTTTTTTTAATCAGAAAGGTAGAATAGCATTCATGAGCACTTCTCTGCTCACATGTTTGTCTTACCTTGGAGACCCCCTTGGCTGGACTGATAAGAGGCTGCTCCTGCTCTGCTACCCACATAGTGACCTGGCCCATCTCTTTGCAGTGGGTTCTGAGTCACCATGGATTCTTTCTCCACAAATGTATCCTGCTGTCCTCATCTGAGACCTCCTGGGAGACTTTCTGGAGCATTCTCCCGTACAACAGCCATGGCTTCCTTCTAAGGTTCAGAGTCCTGTGCAAAGCAGCACACATAGATGAACTGTAAGTTTAGAAAAGTTCTTGTGTTTCTGGAAGGGTTTTTAAAATAAGATCTAAGATGAATTCATAATCTCCAAACAAAAGTGGGTCATGGTATAATACTGCCCTAATAGGCTGGGCGCGGTGGCTCACACCTGTAATCCCAGCACTTTGGGAGGCCGAGGCGGGTGGATCACCTGAGGTCAGGAGTTTGAGACCAGCCTAGCCAACATGGTGAAACCCTGTCTCTACTAAAAATATAAAAATTAGCTGGGCGTGGTGGCATGCACCTGTAATCCCAGCTACTCAGGAGGCTAAGTCAGGAGAATCGCTTGAACCTGGGTGGCAGTGGTTGCAGTGAGCTGAGATTTTGCCATTGCATTCCAGCCTGGGCAACAAGAGTGACATTCCATCTCAAAAAAAAAAAAAAAAAGCATAAATATTGCTCTAATATAGATATAGATAGTTATAGACAGACACAGATAAAGACATATAGACATAGACATATAGATACAGATTGTATAGATACAGGTGTAGATATAGTTATCTAGATATAGTCTTGATTCTACCACTTCTTAGCTATATGGCCTCAACTATGTAACCTAACTTTGCTATGCCTCATTTTTCCCATTGTGATAATTGCAAAATCTCATACTTTAGACATGAGGATTAAATGCACTGATACATATTAAATGTTTAAAACAGTACTTGATACATAATAAAAACTTGGTAAATGGAATCTGTTGTTGCTGTTATAAAACACAGGGGCCATTTCTTCCTGGATGTTGCATCAAAACAATGGGAGTCTTTGGAAAACATATAATAACTTCTAAGAAAAAGTAAAAAGCAACACTCAATGGGAAATATCATCCTGATATCCACTTAGACAACAAAGCATTTAAATAGGACAGTTTTTGCAGGAGATAAAGTATAAGGTATCCGGTATCCAAGCACGAAAGAGAGGTTGGGCATAAAGGAATTTATGAACAGGCAGAATCTCATTACCCCAAATATCAAGTCATTTGATGATGGAATTAAGCCATTGATGCTCAATGTCACTTCATCTTTAAAGGCAAGGCCACGGATCTCCTGTCTAGGGCCATCTTCCCAGTGGAAGAGTTGGTTGCTCTGAGTGTTTTAGCTCTTCTCACTTCCTGTCTCTGGTCATGTTCATTGTCAAGGGCTGGTTGAGCCAGGGAGAAGGGTCAGTTTCATGGCCCTGGAAAACAGCAAAGTTTAATTGTATTTCTAAAAACTCTAGACTTGGCAACCAACTCTGCTACCTGGACTTGATCAATGAGAACAACATCCAGACATCCATGGCATGGACTCTGGAGTCTGAGTGCCTAGGTTCAAATCCTCGTTCTGCAACTCACTAGCTCTGAGTCTCAGCTCTTTCATCTATAAAATGGAGCCAGTAAAAGAACCTGCCACATAGAGTTGATGTAATGATTAAATATGTTAATCTGTATAAAATGCTTGGAACAGGGGTCAGCACAGAGTAAATGCTTAATAAATATGGAGAGGCTTAAGAGCTGTCTCAAGGCCAAGGGATGAATTTGGTGGCCCCTCAAGGTTCTTCTGATCCAGGTCAACTGTGCCATATTTTCTACAAGGAGGTTGCAGACAGGTCTCTTCCAAGCCCCTTCCCCTTCCTCACCTTCTGCCCAGAATAAGTGCAGCTCCTACTCCAACATGCACAAAGCAGCTGATGCCCTGAGACTAGGCTGAGAGCTACGCAGCTGTGGGTAGCAAGCTCCTGTGCCCTTCTGTGCTCCCAATCAAATACTAGGGTCTTGAGAAAGAAAACCAGACTATCCCCAAAGAGAAGGTAAATACAAAAACCATTTTGTGGTTTGTGCTGGAAGAAACTTAACCTGACAGTGTGAGTAAATGAGTGTGTTTCTTGTCCTAAAGACCCCACTTGAAGAGGGTGGGATCCCAGTTAAACACTTCTGCTCCCCGTCTTATTAACAGCAGTCCCATCTCAGCCAAAAGAAAGGGAGAGAGAGGAGAAAAGAGACCAGCAGCCTCACTCCCTGAAAAAGAAAGGAATCCAGATTTCAAACGCTCAGACTTATTTTTCTTTCAAAAGGCAACTTCAGAAACCTGTCCACCCCTCTATCAAAGAGTGGAGCTGTTTGAAGCAGCCCCCTCCCCAAGCCTACCTGCTGATTATTCAGGAAAATATTATATTGACATGACTCTTTAGAATATCAAGGATTTGCAGTGTTTGGGCCCAACCCTGTGACTATCTTGCATCCACACATGATTAAAAATTTAGATGGCTAACTTTGAAACAATCAAATGCATTAGAAGCTTCATAATGAGCCACTATCTGAACTAAAACACAGCAAACTTCAGAAAAGTGCTTCTGTGGAAATTCCATCGTCTTTGATCCGGTAAAGCCACGGCAGGGTGGATTTATTTCAAGTTTATTTTTTGGCATACTGGTCCTCCCGAAATATTGGGAGATATCTTTCTTAGCAAGATGTGGGAGAAAACAATGGTGCCGTCTCTTTCATTTATCTGCAATTTGACAGGAGTGCAGTTTATTAACTTGAAAAGAGGCAGAGACATTATCTGAAGCCCGGAGACTCTGGTGGGGATTGCCTCCCTTTTGTACCAGTGGGAGTTGGCGACATTTTGAACCTGCTCACCATTAAATGCCTTCCTGAGTGGTGGAAGAGCCTTTAAAAAGAAAGCCGACGCATTTATGATGTAAATTCGTTATTTTGACAGTCTTTGAAATCTGTCATATTCACATCTGATTTAATGCCTTGCAAAAAAAGTCCCTTTTCTTTTAAAACACTTTTAAGATTTTCAAAGCCATTTTCATGTAGCAAACTATTGTTATACCTAACACATCCTGAAAGTATTTTAGCAAAGGAACTTATAGGATTCTGTTTTAAGTTGTGTCGAGTTTTAAAACATGGCAGTCTTCAAATAAGCTTTGACCAGGATATCTCTTTTTGATTAGTGAAAAGCTGTTCTTGATTTTCGTGTACACAATTAGGCAGCACAGATGGCTATCAGCTTAGGCAATCATTTCGTATACAAGAAGTTGGCCTTATGAGCAGCTGCGTATACTGTTGTATATTTTGGGTAACTGAATCTTCTAGACCATAGAATATAGAGGTCTCCTATCAACCATCTAGCTGTCCAGAACAGAGCAGAGTTTCTCAACCAGGGGCAATTTTGCCTCCCAGGGGAAACATAGCAATGTCTAGAGACACACTTTGTTGTCACAGTGAGAGAGAGGTGCTATGGTATCCAGAAGGTAGTTTAGGGGTGCTGCTTAACTCCTTAGGATGCATAGGCCAGCCTCTTACAACAAAGAACTGTCCCTCCCAAAATGTCAATAGTGGCAAGTCACAGAGGCAGTTGGTAAAGCCTCTCCCTGTAGCCTGTGCACCAGGCTAGCAGTTACCAAATAAGCATGTGAACAGCTTGGGCTGCTTATTTATTTGTTTGTTTGTTTGTTTGTTTTTCACTGGTTTTGGGGGAACACGTGGTGTTTGGTTACATGGATAAATTATTTAGCGGTAATTTCTGAGATTTTGGTGCACCTGTTACCCGAGCAGTGTACTGTACCCAATGTACAGTCTGTTATCCCTCACCCCCCTCCCACCTTTCCCCTGAGTCCCTAAAGTCCATTATATCATTCATATGCCTTTGCATCCTCATAGCTCAGTCATTATATCATTCATATGCCTTTGCACCCTCATAGCTCAGCTCCCACTTGTAAATGAGAACATATAATGTTTGGTTTTCCATTCCTGAGTTACTTCATTTAGACTGATGGTCTCCAACTCCACCCAGGGTTGCTGCAAATGCCATTATTTTGTTCCTTCTAATGGCTGAGTAGTATTCCATGGTGTGTTTATATACACATACATAAATCTCACAGTTTCTTCATCCATTCATTGGTTGATGGACATTTAGGCTGGTTGCATACTTTTGCAGTTGTGAATTGTGCTGCTATAAACCTGCATTGCAAGGGTCTTTTTCATACAACTTCTTTTGGGATTGCTGGATCAGATGGCAGTTCTACTTTTTGTTCTTTAAGGAAGCTCTATACTGTTTTTCATAGCGGTTGTACTAGTTTGCATTCCCGCCAGCAGCGTAAAAGTGTTCATTTATCACCACATCCAAACCAACATCTATTATTTTTTTGTTTTTAAATTATGGCCATTCTTGTGGGAGTAAGGTGGTAGGTAGCTCCTTGTGGTTTTAATTTTCATACCCCTGATAATTAGTGATATGCATTTGAGCATTTTTCCATATGTTTCTTGGCCATTTGCATATCTTCTTTTGAGAACTATCTATTCATGTCCTTTGCTTGGGCTGCTTCTGAACAAATAGAGATTCTCAGAACCCTTTCCATACCTACTGAAACAGGTCCTCTAGGGAAGGAGTTGAAGGAATCTTCATTGTTCAGATGTGTCCTGGGTAATTCTGCTATGGTTAGTCCACAAATGAGTGTCTGGGGACCATCACAATAAACCATAGGCATCTTTTCTTTTTGAGAAAGAGTCTCTGCCTTCCTCAGAATTATTAACTTTTACTTTTTACACAAGTCTGATAAGCTTGTCTATTGCCTTCTGAGTTCAGGACATTTAGATGGAGCTTAAATTCAACACTTACGGAACAAAAATAAGGGAACTGCAAAGGAGACGCAGCAGACAGAGGTCAAGGGTAGGAGGACACCAGGCAGGTGGCAGGGAAGGTGTTGTAGACAGGAACAAGTGGTTAACCACGTCCCCGATGTCAACCATGGCTGGGTATGCTTCTGTCGTACAATTGCGTGTGTAGCGGAATAGTGAAAATACTTAGCCAGTGATAAGACACAGGCCAGTCAGAGCAGATGCGGGCCCCAGCAGCAGGTTCAGGGACCCAGAGACCCTCTGCTGTATCAGTCATTCACTCTTAGGTGTCTGAAATGTGGAGAAGTCCAGGAGGTCCTGGGAGAGCAGGCAAGTAGTTGGGACAGCA